GGGAGAATCTGTTCGGACAGGTAAACTGGGCCGGAGTCGTTTAGGGATTTATAGGTCAGCACCAGCACTTTGAATTGTTCTTGGGAGCTAATTGGCAACCAGTGGAGCTGGCGCAGCAGAGGAGTAGTATGCTCCCTGTACCCCCTCTTGTTAGTAATCTGGCTGCTGCTCGATGTACTGGTTGAAGCTTCCGGGCAGTCTTCAGAGGCAACCCCACATAGAGAGCGTTGCAGTAGTCTATACGGAATGTAACTAGAGCGTGATGCTATTATCCACAGATGCAGATGAAACTTCAGGAGAGAATGCTTCTGGAACATGAGTATACAGCCTGAAAAACTCACAGCAACCCAGTGATTCCAGTCATGAAAGCCTTCAATAACACAACCATAAGACTATTCCAAGAAGGCGGAGGAAATAGTACTAGAAACAGACCATACTGGATTCATCAATGAAAAGACATGATCTAATCACCAATGAAGTAGAAACTCCAAAATTAGTTTTTTTGATTGCGCAAAGGATTCTGTGAGGTTCAGTCCAGAAAAAGGGAATGTTTCTAAACACCATTACTATCAAACAGAATTTACTGATCAAGGAGAGAGTTCCCACAAACAAGTATTAACCTCACAAACTTCCAATCCTCTGAAAACCTCCCAAAATTGCAAACAGGTTGGTGCAGCTTTCTGTTTACACAACCCAATGTATAACCTTTGAACTTGGGGGGAAAATATCCTATTTTTTTGCTTAAACTTTCCAGCGGCAAGATTTGTACTTTTCCAACGGGACAGGAAGGGCCCTGATTGTAGTGTCTTGGCAGCAGCTGAACAAATACAAAACTTTCTTACTTTGGCTGGTTGCTTTCTGATTTCTCCTAGCCTATCATTATTGAAAACCCTTGTCAGCAAGATGGGGGTGGTTCCTGGGTTCATATCGCAGCTGCGAGAGGCAATCAAGGCTCTGGACCGCAGACAGTGGGCTGAGGTTGTGGCAAAGGGTTTGGAAGCCAATGGAGAAAGGGCTTGGGAGCTTGCAAGGGAATCTGACCAGATCAAAAGCTACTGAAACACAGGGGGACAATGGCCAGATTGGGGGATTTTATTTCCCTTAGCAGTGTAAGACATCTATTTCAGCAAACCATGTCCTGAAAGACCCCAAATTCATGGCCAAGCTTGGGTTTGTTAGGGCTTTACCATGCGAAGCAACTAAAGCACAATTACAACAGCATGAAAACATCAATTGAGGGGCTTATCACACAACGTTGCAGCTATACTATAACCATATTATGCTTGATTCACGATCAGATCATTGCTTTTCATTGAATCCAATATCATTATTGCTCTATTGCTCCTTCCTTCTGTGATAATCTCCTGCTGCAGTCCGCTATTGCGAAGCAGCGGAAAGTCTCACAAAAAAGCCAAAACTGTTTAACTGCACAATTGCAGAAAAGTAGGGGGAAACTTCGCGTGCATGTGCAAACAATAGGGCAGAGACAATTAGAAAGTGAGATATTGTGAAATTTTATGTATTTATTTATTGTGTCATCCGCAACCAGAACATTGTATTACATTTCTAACAGAACAAACAAACAGATTAAAAAAACCACAAATTTTGCAAACTTGGTAGCTGATTAACTGTCCTTTGACCAGTGTCTGGCCACTTGGAGTGCCTCTGGTGTTGCCGCAAGGAGGTCCTCCCTTGTGCATGTGGCAGGGCTCAGGTTGCATTGCAGCAGGTGGTCAGTGGTTTGCTCTTCTCCACACTCGCATGTCGTGGATTCCACTTTGTGGCCCCATTTCTTAAGATTGGCTCTGCATCTCGTGGGGCCAGAGCGCAGTCTGTTCAGCGCCTTCCAAGTCGCCCAGTCTTCTCTGTGCCCAGGGGGGAGTCTCTCATCTGGTATCACCCACGGATTGAGGTGCTGGGTTTGAGCCTGCCACTTTTGAACTCTCGCTTGCTGAGGTGTTCCAGCGAGTGTCTCTGTAGATCTAAGAAAACTATTTCTTGATTTAAGTCATTGATGTGCTGACCGATACCCAAACAGGGGATGAGCTGGAGATGTCTCTGCCTTGGTCCTTTCACTATTGGCTGCAACTTCCCGGCGGATGTCAGGTGGTGCAATACCGGCTAAGCAGTGTAATTTCTCCAGTGGTGTAGGGCGCAGACACCCCGTGATAATGCGGCATGTCTCATTAAGAGCCACATCCACTGTTTTAGTGTGGTGAGATGTGTTCCACACTGGGCATGCATACTCAGCAGCAGAGTAGCATAGCGCAAGGGCAGATGTCTTCACTGTGTCTAGTTGTGATCCCCAGGTTGTGCCAGTCAGCTTTCGTATGATATTGTTTCTAGCACCCACTTTTTGTTTGATGTTCAGGCAGTGCCTCTTGTAGGTCAGAGCACGGTCCAAAGTGACTCCCAGGTATTTGGGTGCGCTGCAATGCTCCAGTGGGATTCCTTCCCAAGTAATCCAGGCAAGGGAGCAAGTGCGGCAAGTGTAGTTACTGGGATGTATAGTTCACCTACAATCAAAGAGCATTCTGAACTCCACCAATGATGGAATTGAACCAAATATGGCACACAGAACTCCCACGACAAACAGAAATATATATCAATGATTGGTTGGGGGGGGGGGGCGCCAAAATACTGTTTGCTTACTGTTGAAAATTACCTAGGGCCGCCTCTGACCTCAGTGTGCATGTGCATGTGTTCGGAAGGGCAAACAATTAGAAAGCAAGATAGTTAGTAGTGGTGGAAGGTATCACAAGGGAGCTACCACTGTGCAACTATGTGGTTGTGGCAAAATAGGATAAAATAGTAGGGAAGCATAGTATGCATGTGCTGGGAAGGGCAAATGCAAGTAAGAAATGAGGCATTGCAAAGCAGAGGAAGGTCTCAAGAGAACACCAAAAGTGGCTGAGGGGGAAAAGGAAAGGGCCTGAGGCTGTTAGGAATGGTGGGAGTTGAAGTCCAAAACATCTGGAGGGCTCAAGTTTGCCCATGCCTGTTATTCCACAAGTCACTGTATTTGAGGTGTTTCCATGCTGTATGAAGTGCTTTAATCTATTTTAAATATTCACCGCAGAGAAAGCCAATGGCATGGCAGAGCCATTAAGAGATCCCAAGAGGCCCTGCCGCTCTCTAAGGCACATCGTTTCCAAATTTAACTGAAAGGGAAGGTTTTCGAAGCCAAGAAAGTTTTTTTCTTTCTTGTTAATATAAAGGAGGAACATCTGGAAAGGAACGGTTCTCACATTTTGGCTGTCAATTTCTGGAGCGGAGGCGGCCTGGCAGCGCATTAATGGGGCATATGCGCTCTACACATGTGCCGCGCGGCCCTGAAAACACATTTGGCATCTTGGAACAGGAGACCACATCTGAATAACCCTTTAATGCCTGGGAAAACACAGCAAATCCCTCTCAAGTACCTATACATCATATTTCTCCTGTTACAGAGCATCAAAGCAGTTTGGCACCACTTGAACTGCCATGACTCAATGCTGTGGAATCATAGGAGTTGTAGCTTTGCAAAGCTTTCTCTGTCAAAGAGTGCTGGTGTTTCAAAAATTCTCTGCCTCATTCAGAAAAATGCTGCACTGCACCCACTGTGCCGATCACCACTGGGACCACCTTTACTAGTTGTGCCAGAGCATTATTATTATTATTATTATTATTATTATTATTATTATTATTATTATTATTATTAGAAACACAACAAGATGAGTCCACAGCAGACACTCTGCTGGCTGTTGTATTGGATCACACGTCGGACACTTCCCAAGTGTCTAGGACTGTGTGATGTATTGGTGAATAATGTGTGCAAATCCCAGTAAGGTGGCCGGTGGGGATTTTGTCAGCGCCGATTGTGTTTAAGTGCAGGCCAAGGTCTTTAGGCACTGCACCCAGTGTGCCGATCACCACTGGGACCACCTTGACTGGCTTGTGCCACAGTCTTTGCAGTTCGATCTTTAAATCCTCATATCATGTCAGCTTTTCCAGTTGTTTCTCTTCAATCCTGCTGTCACCTGGGATTGCAACATCGACAATCCATACTTTGTTTTTTAACATGATCGTGAGGTCAGGAGTATTGTGCTCCAAAACTCTGTCTGAATTCAGAAGTCCCAGGAGAGTTTGGTGTGTTCATTCTCCATAACTCTCTCTGGCTTGTGATCCCACCAGTTCTTTGTCGCAGACAGATGGTATTCATGGCACAAGTTCCAATGAATCACCTGAGCAATGGTGTTGTGCCTCTGCTTGTAGTCTGTCTGCGCAATCTTCTTGCAGCAGCTGAGGATGTGATCTACTGTTTCACCTGCTTCCTTGCAGAGTCTACATTTGGGATCTGTCATTGACTTTTCAATTCTGGCTATTATTATTATTATTATTATTATTATTATTATTATTTGAAACACAAGATGAGTCCGCAGCAGTCACTCTGTTGGCTGTTGTATTGGATCACATATTGGACACTTCCCAAGTGTCTAGGACTGTGTGATGTATTGGTGAATAATGTGTGCAGATCCCAGTAAGGTGGCCTTCTGCAGCTGGCAGATGGTAATTTTGTCAGCGCCGATTGTGTTTAAGTGCAGGCCAAGGTCTTTAGGCACTGCACCCAGTGTGCCGAATATTTTTATTGTTATTATTATTATTGCGGAAGAGAGGAATAATAAGAAGAGTAGAGATGAAGAAGGGATAGGATGAAAGAGGAGTCGAGAAAGAGGAGAGGAAGAGGTAGAGAAGGTGAGGAGGGAGAAGAGAAGAGGAGGAAGAGAAAGGAAACACCTCTTACCTGCCATCTGATCATTAGCAAAGTCAACCTGAAAGAGAACTTGGAGGAGAAGAGGAAGAGGAAGGTAGAGGAAAGGAAGGAGTGGAGAAAGAGAGTTGATGGAAGAGAGGAAAAGAAGATGACCAAGGAGGAGATGAGGAGGAGGGGAAAAGGAAGAAGAAGAGGGGGAGAAGGAGATGAATAGAGGAGAAGGAGAGAGAGGAGAAACATCTCTTACCTGAAATCTGGTCATTAGAGAATTCAACCTGAAAGAGAATTGAAGAAAAGGTATTATTCAGTGTCCATTGGTAGAATCAATGATGGCTCCATGTACTCGGAGTCCCATAAAAGCAATGAGGTCTCCTCATTTCCAAATGCTGAAGCAATTCTGCTCCCATTTCTTGGCATGACTCTTAGGGCCCTTTCACAAAGCCCTATATCCCAGAATATCGAGGCAGAAAATCCCACAATATCTGCTTTGAACTGGGTTATCTGAGTCCAGATTCAGATAATGTGGGATTTTCTGCCTTGATATTCTGGGATATAGGACTGTTTGGAAGGGTCCTTAGTTACCCGGAGCCTGCCAAATCTTGGAAAATCAAGCTTACATTGTTGAAGGCTTTCATGGCTGGAATCACTGGGTTGTTATGAGCTTTCCAGGCTTATCTGGCCATGTTCCAGAAGCATTCTCTCCTGTTGTTTTGCCACATCTATGGCAGGCATCACCAGAGGTTGAGGGGTCTGTTGGAAACTAGGCAAGTGGGGTTTATATATCTGTGGAATGTCCAGAAACCCAATCAAGGTTGCTCTTGGTCTCGGGCTTCTGTGTCAATCAGCGCTTCTCAACCTGGGGGTCAGGACCTCTGGGGGGGGGTCGCAAGGGGGTGTTGGAGGGGTTGTCAAAGACCATCAGAAAACATAGTATTTTCTATTGGTCCTGCGGATTCTGTATGGGAAATTTGACCCACTTCTATTGTTGGTAAGGTTCAGAATACTCTTTGTTTGTAGGTAAACTATAAATCCCAGCAACTACAGCTCCCAAATGTCAAGGTCTATTTTCCCCAAACTCTGCCAGTGTTCACATTTGGGCATATTGAGTATTCATGCCAAGTTTGGTCCAGATCCATCATTGTTTGAGTCCACTGTGCTCTCTGGATGTAGGTGAACTAAAATTCCCAAACTCAAGGCCAATGCCCACCAAACCCTTCGAGTATTTTCTATCGGTCATGGGATTCCTGTGTGCCAAGTTTGGTTCAATTCCATCGTTGGTGGAGTTCAGAATGCTCTTTGATTGTAGGTAAACTATAAATCCCAGCAACTACAGCTCCCAAATGTCAAGGTCTATTTTCCCCAAACTCTGCCAGTGTTCACATTTGGGCATATTGAGGATTCGTGCCAAGTTTGGTCCAGATCCATCATTGTTTGAATGCACAGTGCTCTCTGGATGTAGGTGAACTACAACTCCAAAACGCAAGGTCAATGCCCACCAAATCCTTCCAGTATTTTCTGTTGGTCAAGGGGGAGTCCTGTGTGCCAAGTTTGGTTCAATTCCATCATTGGTGGAGTTCAGAATGCTCTTTGATTGTAGGTGAACTATTGATCTCAGCAACTACAACTCTCAAATGACAAAATCAATACCCAAACCCCTCCAGTATTCAAATTTGGCCGTATTCAATATTTGTGCCAGATTTGGTCCAGTAAATGAAAATACATCCTGCATATTGTATATTTACATTATGATTCATAACAGTTGCTACAGTTATTGAGGCCGAACCCGGAACTCCCTGCCTTCAAGTTGGTCTGACCCACAGCAGGGAGTTCCTCAGTTCTCCATTTGCCCCGCTTGGGCCAACCGCATGAATGTGGCCACAGCAGCAGCTGCAACTCAGAAGCCTTCTCATTTCTTTGCTTTTCCCCCTTCCTAACATTGTAACTAATCCCCCCAATAAAAAGTATCAATAATTGTAACCTTTCCTTCTCCATAGTGTTACTTTGTGTCCTTTTATTGCCTCAAACTTCTCTTTCCATAAAACTTTCCTCTCCTGGGCTGCAGATGACTGCCGGCCCCCCTGGGATGCGATTTCCACGTCCCGGGGAGGCCGAAACTGCGCTCCCTTAAACTGCGGATACGGAAACCCCCTCAGGCCCCCATATCCGCAGGTCAATGGATCGCTTCGAAAATGGTGTCAATCTTCTCCTGGGAAAATTCAGGGAAAATTCTTAGCTCTTTTCTCTTCACTCACCAGAGTACCGGACTCTTGGTGGGTCTAAGGGTTCCTTGGGAGTGATCCTGGACTCATCGCTGAGCCTGGAACCCCAGGTCTCGGCGGTGGCCGGGAGAGCTTTTGCACAATTAAAACTTGTGCACCAGCTGCGCCCGTACCTTGGGAAGCCGGATCTGGCCACGGTGGTCCACGCTCTTGTTACATCCCGATTAGATTACTGCAACGCACTCTACGTGGGGTTGCCTTTGAAGTCTGTTCGGAAACTTCAATTAGTCCAACGGGAGGCAGCCAGATTGCTCACCGGACCATCATGCAGGGAGCACACCACCCCCCTGTTATGCCAGTTCCACTGGCTGCCGATCCAATTCCAAGCACAATTCAAAGTGCTGGTTTTGACCTACAAAACCCTATACGGCTCTGGCCCAGTGTATCTGTCCGAATGGATCTCCCTCTACGTCCCAGCCCAGAGTTTAAGATTGGCTGGGGGGGGGGGCTGCTCTCGACCCCGCCTCTATCACAAGTGAGGCTGGCAGGGACGAGGAGCAGGGCCTTCTCGGTGGTGGCCCCTCACCTGTGGAACTCACTCCCCGGGGAAATAAGAACAGCGAACACACTCCTCTCTTTCAGGAAAAAACTGAAAACTTGGTTGTGGGACCAAGCGTTTGGTCAATCGGGTAGGTAAAGAAAGGATTGATATGGCCTAGGAAATGTTTAATGGAACGGAATCTGGAACCCGGATAGACGAATGCTGAGCACGTGAATAGTTTTCTATACGATGTGTTTATTGTTTATTGATTATTGATTATTTCATTTGTTCTAATTGTTTTAATTGTTTTAACTATGACGGTCACTATGTGTAACTGTAACTGTATAGGCATCAAATGGTGTCTTGTTGTGTAAGCCGCCCTGAGTCCCCCTTCGGGGGTTGAGAAGGGTGGGGTAAAAGTGCTGGAAATAAATAAAATAAATAGGTGAACTACAACTCTAAAACCCAAAGTCAATGCCCACCAAACCCTTCCAGTATTTTCTGTTGGTCATTGGAGTCCTGTGTGTCAAGTTTGGTTCAATTCCATCATTGATGGAGTTAAGAATGCTCTTTGATTGTAGGTGAACTATTAATTCCAGCAACTACAACTCCCAAATGACAAAATCAATACCCAAACCCCTCCAGTATTCAAATTTGGCCGTATTCAATATTTGTGCCAAATTTGGTCCAGTAAATGAAAATACATCCTGCATATTGGATATTTACATTATGATTCATAATGGTTGCTACAGTTATTGAGGCCGAACCCAGAACTCCCTGCCTTCAAGTTGATCTGACCCGCAGCAGGGGGTTCCTCAGTTCTCCATTTGCCCCACTTGGGCCGACCACATGAATGTGGCCACAACAGCAGCTGCAACTCAGAAGCCTTCTCATTTCTTTGCTTTTCCCCCTTCCTAACATTGTAACTAATCCCCCCAATAAAAAGTATCAATAATTGTAACCTTTCCTTCTCCATAGTGTTACTTTGTGTCCTTTTATTGCCTCAAACTTCTCTTTCCAGAAAACATTCCTCTCCTGGGCTGCAGATGACTGCCGGCCCTCCTGGGATGCGATTTCCACGTCCCGGGGAGGCCGAAACTGCGCTCCCTTAAACCGCAGATACGGAAACCCCCTTGGGCCCCCATATCCGTGGGTCAACGGATTGCTTCGAAAATGGTGTCACTCTTCTCCTGGGAAAATTCAGGGAAAATTCTTGGCTCTTTTCTCTTCACTCACCAGAGTACTAGACAGTTGTTGGTAGGTCTAAGGGCTTCTCTCTCCTGGGCGGGAGCCTCTAAATTCTAGCTCGATATCATTATGATGTAGCAACAAAAATAATTTTATTAAGGGGTTGCGGCATTAGGAAGGTTGAGAAGCACTGATTTAAATCAATTTTGCATGGATACTGCAGCTTTCTCTTGAGTTCCTTATGACCTATTCTAAGATCTGCTTGAAGAGTGGAGTCCAAGTGATCAGAAACGCTCCAAAATTGTCCCTGTTGATAGTTGGAACAGTGAAGCCTTTATGTTCTAATGGTTAAATGTATACAAACTTTGCTTCATGCAGAACCTTATTACAAATACTGTATTTAAAATGACCTTATGGCAATGTGTATATGACAAATGAATTTCATATTATATTTGGGTCCTATCTCCAAGATACGTCATGACATAGATGAAATATTCCAAATTCTGCAAAATAAATTCCCAAATTATTTCTGATCCTGAGCATTTTGGACAAGGGATGCTCAACCATAGAAGGAAAGAGTGAATAGTAGCCAAACAAACGGTAGCAGGTTTCACATTTCAGAAATAACCGTGGAAAGGAAACCCTCCTCGGTTCTTTCCCCCCCTTGAACCAAAGCCAGGAAAAACTCTAAGAAAACAGAATTGTGGAGTTCCCAGAAGCAACTTTTCCTATAACACATTTTTGGAGGAGAGTATCAGGAGTGTGTAGTGATGTGTCCTGCTTGTTTGGGGCTCTAAATGGAACCGGCACTCAGTTTTTAATCCATAGGACCATGGCTTCTGAATTTTGATGGAGAACATGCCTCTGTCAGAAGCATCGGTGATAGAGAATTGTATGGACAGCATCCTGGAAGATAAATGGGATGGGTTTCTGGCAAGCGCCCACAACATGAAATGTAAAACATTTTTACAGACTGGTTGTTCCCCCGGCTAATGGACCGCCGAAACACGATCTCGGATTCCTTGAATGTGGCTTTAACAAGCTGCTATTTTGCCCTTCTCAACTTGTTCTCTGGGATTTCCAATCAACTAAGGGGGAAAAGAACCAGGGCGAGATGGTTGCGGGCTGCGATTCTGTAGGTTGTGTTTTTGTATTTCTTTTGCAGAAGGAGGAAGAGGGGGAAAAGAAGAGGAAAAAGAAAAAAGGAAAAAGAGAAAGAAAAGGAAGAAGGGAAAGAACAGGAAAAAAGAAGAAAGCGAGAAAAAGTGAAGGAAAAGAAGAGGAAGGAGAAGAAAAAAAAAGAAGGGGAAGAAAAGGAGAAAAAAGA